CTACTTCACTCTGGTCCATACACTGTTGAGCTGTTTACTACAACAGAATGTTCTTGACACAGTACATCTCAATAGTTTCCAGAAAACGTTGACTTTTAGATGAATTCAATCATATCCCTGATACTCATCAAACTCTTCACCTGATATCTAAGAGCTGTCTTAAGCGTCCAGACATAGCGACCTAACTCTACGTAGACTCATACCCATCGGTTGTTAGAAGCTCACAAAGAGCTGTCCCAAGAACCTTGGCAACAGGGATCTTAAGTTTCAACATCAAGTGAGAACCAACTTCTATCAGAGCATCAATCGAGCAGGCTTCTTTCTCGTTCACTTTGGCTCTTCCATGCCACATGATCAGGGTCGCAAAGTAGATACACAAAGGGAGGTGAGGAGGCTCAATGAACTGTGGCCTGTCCATGTCTAGTGATGTGCGCCGTCTGCGTGGCGCCAAACCAGACTCTGCAATTCGGAGAATTGCTTTTGCGTGCCAGAGTGAAATATCAAAATGACGACCTGTTGACCAAGGCTGGATTGCTTCAGCGCCGACATCGTCTTTTAGAGGCGGCGCCGCACTATGTGGTGCGGTCTGGGCAAGACGCTGAAGAGCTCCCATGTTTGAATGCAAAGTTACCTGCGTAAGATGATAAAGTAGCATTTGTGATATCTGGAGAGGACTGTCGAGGTTTGTTTGTGCTGACTTTGCCCTAACCCATTGGTCCAGTGCCATCTCGACGAACTCGGCTTTCCAGAGAGAAGGCAAAGTGGGATCGTCCGCATCCCGTGGGCTTGCCATCCAGCTGTAACGTATGATCGTTGCGAGTTGATAAATATCTGCAGTATACTTCACAATTGAGCTATTAGGTGTGGACTTTGAGATGATACCTCCCGTCGCGAGCCTTTGATAGCCAATTGTGTCTTGTTCTCTCCCCAAAAAGCATTGATCTCCAGCAAATGTCGGAGGGCGTTGTAGCAGCAGAACTCTGTAACTATCAAGGACATTCATTGCCTCTAGTATTAATTGAAGGTGGTGACGCTGACTCACGGTGGCATCACGCGGCATGATATTGATGCAGGAGGTCATCGCGTGCACTTTGTTGCCGTGAAACACCTCCATAAACTCATAAGCTCTTTTGTCTCCGCTGCACAGTCCATATAGCTCAAGGAGGACAAATGTTTTTGCAAAACTTAAAGAGTCTTCAAAAGAAGGATTAGTGTCTAGCAGATGGTCTTCTAGCATGAGTCTTCGCGAATCGTTGAAAAGAATCTTAGCAACTTTTGCGCTGCCGGAGGTCGTGCAGTAAAGACCTCCAATCGCTGCCATCGCAAGGCAGAGCTCTACTCGAGTATCATCACCTGCTTCAAAATCGGAGAACACGGCAAATGTGGCCGATAGGTGCCTTTTGGAAATGTTGAGGAGGATGTTGATTGTTATTTCATCGTATACGCCCAACTGTGGGATAATGGAATACCAGGACCATTGCTGTGCCTCTTGAGAGGGAGACGACGCTCGAGAGCGACGTTGAAGCTGATTCTTCATGATATCTACAGCGCTGTCCATAGATGGATCGAAGTTAACGTCAAAGGCCATAGGATGTTGAGGCCACACGTCGTCTACCCCTGAAAGCTCATTTAGGTCATCAAGCCAGTTACCGAAGTCCTGTATTATGAGAAGGGAAGAGATTAGCTTCTACACTGCGCACATGGCTACAGATCCTTGACTATTTACCGCAGGTGGAACGAGATCGTTCAATAGATCCATTGTCTCGCACATCGGTGGGAGTTGCAATGGATCAGCATCAAAGGCAGCTGGCACCGATGAGACTGGAGGTGGCTCAGAAGTCATCCAATCGTCCACCGCACCGTGGAGGGAGAGCCCGATTGTTTCAAAATATGCATCGTTGTTATTTCTCGAGTTTGGGTCGTTGATCTGTTCAATGCCGGGAACAGGGCTATGCGGTCTGTCCAGAGTTGACGGATCAATGCTACTTGGTGTCCAAGGCTCGGGAGCAGGAGGAATTGGGATGGAATAGGTTGCCTCGTCGTCACAAGAAGCATTCTGGTCGATAATAGCAGACTGTTCAACCGGCGAGGTCTTGGCAAAGTTTCGAGGCCTACCAGGTGGCCTGGAAGAGCTCGAGACAGTGCAACTCAGCTGCTTGGACCGGCAAGATTCGCATGGCCGGATATTGTCACACTTCAATTTTCGCCTCCGGCATTGATCACACGCCAACCTCGACCGTTCCCTGTCCCTGGGCTTTCTTGAAACCTGATTAGATCGAGGTATTCGAGGTCCTTCGCCCGATGTTAGGCTCTGTGGATGGAGGTTTTGAACATGCTTAGCCAACACGTCTGGCCGTTGAAATCCGGCTCCGCAATAATCACAATGGAATGGTCGTTCTCCCGTATCTATCGAGTCATTGTCAATAGGCTCCCATTGATTCGCTACAAGACTTGTTGCAAATTTGCTTGACGTACGTATTCGTTGATGTCGAATGAGATGCTCGTTCCGGGCGAAAGTGCGCCCACAGAAATCGCAGCGGGCCATGAATGGGGGATTTTCCGAGTGTCACTACTCTCCGGACTTCTTCACCTCCTTGGGCATTGTTGGAGTCTGACGGAATCCTGGGGTCAAAGGACTGGGTCATATTCTATTGCTGTAATGCTTGAGTAGAGTCGTCCAATCTAGTCTTAGCTCTCCACCTCGGTAATTTGCCTACTTACACCTCCAGACACACACAACAAACCCCACGAGGGACTTTCATGGATCAGTGATCCTCATGCGTATTCGCTTATATTTAGCGTATACGCTACCCGCTGAACCGAGATGCGCTTTCCTTAGTGAAGATCGCGGCGTGCGGGGTGCGGAGAATCCCCGTAGGATATTGCGGCTTGCCATTATCGTGAAAAGACAGCCAATAAGGTAGACTAATTTGGTAGCCGAGGGACGGGATCATTCTCTACCATGTCATGGGAACAATGGATATTTGGATCAGTAACATGAATCAAGAACTGCGACGCAGCGTGTGCTGAAGGGGGTTTGTGAGGCTCGACCTCTTTATTATTATTTTTTTTGTACTCGAGACTGAACAACGAGTCCATGTAGCTTTGGATCAGCAGATGCGCACCTACTTGGCCAAAGTAAATGCTTCTAATGGTTGATGTTAGGCATAGCTCAAGCTGGCCAGGGGAGCGTGATCCGTCCCATCAAGATGTCGCAGCTGCTAACGAGCGTCCTGATCCGGTCCTTCTGTCCAATTTCACGAGATCACTTATACATAGTGATGAGGCAAATGAGACCGCACAGCTACTTCATATGGGCTTGAGAGTTAGGGTACGCACTTATCTGTCTATCTCATTCATATTGATGTCAATTTGCCTCGATAGGATCATCGGTCATTAAGAAAATATACCTATCCCCTCGCTCTCCTATCACACTTTCCGACGCTGCCGTCATCCGATCGCATCACTCATTTGTGCCGACTTTTCCAAAAACGATGCTCGGGCCACCTCTTCTTCGAATATTTTCCTCAGTCGGCCTTGACCCGTGAGTCAATTGCCCCATTACGGTTCGGCGTTGCATGTTTGGCCTCGATTTGTAGTGGTGATGATGTGAATGAGACCGAGACATTGTTTTCGGCGGGCGCGAGCTTGTGGCCGGTCCTAGTCGAGGTAGACAATAGTTTGGCTCGCTCTGTTGAGATGCTTCTAGCAGTATGTAGTTACTATGGTCCTGGTTCTCCTGTCTGATCATGTTGAATGCTTACATCACAAGTCCGTCCTTCTCATCCCGTGCGGTGTGCTTGCAGCAACGGAATCATCTCGTGTTAGGGCAACACTCCTTCTCTCATCCACGTTGACGGTAGAGTGCTCTAGATAGGTCGTTCACTAAGCTTTACTTACCCATGATTAGGTTGCCCGCCGTATGCGTTTACATCAACCTGCGCAGCTGGAACCAAACCTTCGCGATCGGGTATCATCATTGAGGTTTGTCACCGCGAACAGGTCTGGGCCTCATCTTTCTGTCTCACTGACTGTTTCCAGTCCAATGCTCTGGTCGCTGTGGCTTTGGGATATTATTTACGCGCTTCACTCAGGTCATCCGTTAAGCTTCTCTGTCGAAGAGCTCTTGAATTTTATGCCTGGTTCGACCATCCCGTTCTTGCATGTTTACCGAGATCTACTGCTTGAGTCTACTCGTGGCAACCAACTACTCCTTACGACAATAGGTAGCCCCTCCCGAGATCAAGCATCCCTATTGCTCTTTGCTATCTTGTCTGAATCTATCACGGTGCGCCGATCTCTCGGGAGCATGAATAGCATTATCAATCTCGCCCCAAGATTGGACTTCGAACATAATCCTTTTGCCCCGTTTTCCGCTCACGCCGAGCTCGATCGAATCCAGAGTCAGCTCTCGTTAGCACTTGATCGATGGCACAGCCATTTCGCGGATTCTATAAGTTCAGATTTACTAGCGCTATATTATTATTGCAAGCTATATCTCTCTTGCGCCGAGATCCCCAGACTATGCCAATCGACACGTTATCAAGACTCCGAGTCGGAAAATATAAGTGCTTTGAACGACCTAGATCAACCAAAAATCTCAGACCAGTCCGTCAACAATGCATGGGCTTTGCTTGATGCTGCAGCGAAGGTCCGTAAGTCTCAGGAGGCACTTTGTTCAGCCTGGATGCCAATTGTGGTTTATCATGCAGCTCTGGTTGTTTGGGCCAAGATTAGCTATGAAAGTAAAATTGGTAGCCGGATTCACGCACATGGAAGCATCAGAACACTTCTGGCATTCAAAGCGGAATTAGAGGCTATGCGCTGGCCCTGCTGTATGCAGATGGCGGTCACTTTAGATAAACTCATGTCTACATAAGCTACGCGGATAGTAAAGTGGTGTCACAAATAATTACCTCAATCTCTGATAGATAGTTCAACGTTCGCGGACTTGTATTCCTATAGGTTATATAACTGCAGAGGAGACAAGTCTCAGAAATTCAAGCAAACAGACTACCGCTAGTATTCTTTTCTTTTGTCGTCGATTCCTTCCAATATGTCACTGTTCTTGTGTCGGTGTAGTAAGTGAGTCCTAGTGGCCCTAGCTCTCCGCCAATACCACTTTGCTTATGAGCGCCAAATAAAGCTACAGGATGCATCTTCAGCCCACCATTGACCCAGACACTTCCCGTTTCTAGGCTGCTTGCAATACCCCATGCTCGCTTCTCGTCACGGCAATAGACCGTAGCACCGAGACCTGTGTGCGTGTCATTGACGCGGCCAATCACGTCGTCGTCTTCGTGCCATGTGAGAACAGGAAGAATAGGACCAAATGCTTCTTCCTGAACAACACGAGACTTCTCCGGCGGCTTGGCCACAACAGCTGGAGAAATGAAGAAACCTGACCCGGGCTGATGTTCAGGAACCTTGCCACTGCCGACGACGAAATCGAAGTGTTGCTTGTCACAGTCTTCATAAATAGAGCGTACCTTGTCGTACTGCAACTTATTCTGGATGGGACTACAGAAACCCTCACCTGCCTTCAATGTCTTGACAATGGCTGTCAAGTGGCTCATGAACTCGTCGTATACGGACTCTTGCACGTAAACTCGTTTAGTTGCCATACAGACTTGAGCCGAGTGGGCGAACGATGCCATTGCAACCAGGTGCGCAGCGCTGGCCATGTCAAAATCGTCCGTCACTACGGCCGCATCATTGCCGCCCCTATTTCGTGGTCCATTGTTAGTTAGATCTTCTTACAAATCCGTACCACTTTTTACTTGCAATTCCAAATTAACTCTTTTCAAAGTTTCAGCGGCTGCAGCCATGACCTTCTTTCCTGTTGCGATAGAGCCAGTGAAAGAAATTTTGGCGATCCCGGGATGTTTGGTTATCCACGGGCCAAGACTGTCATCTCCTCCGAGCACCTGCACCACGCCGGCTGGGAAAGTCTGAGCGGCGATTTCGCCAACCTTGAGAGCTGTGTAGGGCGTGAAAGGGCTGTCTCCTGTTAGCAAAGACTTTTTGAGTCACCTTCATACAACGTACGAGGGCTTCAATATAACGGTACAGCCTGCCATGAGTGCTGGAGCAATCTTGAGAATTGCCATTTGGAATGGGTAGTTCCATGGCGTAATCCCTGCTACTACTCCTACCGGTACGCGTTGAAGCACAATCTTCACATTATCGTCTTCTTTGAGGACCTGCTCCTCGGCAGACCATTCAGCTGCAGGTAGATCAGATTAATACACAGGCCTCGATTTATACAAAGACGTTGGTTTCCAAGGATTGAAGTGAACTCACCATTGCCCCGAATAGTATTTATCCCCATGACAACTTCTGATTCTGCAAATTCAGTCTGCATGCAACCATTAGTACCTCTATTACATGGTAGAATTGTAGGAAACTTGGGTATCTCGACCGTCTTTCCAGTCTCCTTGGACAGTAGTTTTGTGAGATCTGACTTGTAAGTCTCTAATCGATCCGAAAACTCGATCAAGAGCTTGCGTCTTTCGGCGTGTTGCAGCCGAGACCAGGCTCTGAAAGCGGCAGTGGCAGCCACAACAGCGTCGTCGACATCCTGTTGCACTGCCATAGGGACCTGCCACAGTTCTTGGCCGGTGCGTGGATTAATGCCATTATATGTTTGAGCACCTGCAGCCCGCTTCTCTTTACCGACAATCTGCGCTGGTTTTATTTTCTGCTTCTATGTTGGAAAACAGTGACTTACATTATAGAAGTCCTGGAAGGACACTGAATTGGCCATGTTGTGCGCCGATATCAGGGTGTTTTCTGTGTGATTGCGCTGTTGCAAAAGCTTGAGCAACCCCCGAACTGATATGCACTGCGATTCAGCTAGATTTTATTGCGAATGCTTACAAGTGGGGAAACCAAGATGCGGACTCTAGTAGTGTAAATTCTGAGCAACAATGCCAAGGATGCTACATCATAAAATTGCCGACTTGGAGAAGACTACAGAAGCTCTGTCCAATTGTAGCTTCGATTCCTGTTGCAGCTACGACGAGAATGTGTATAGCGCCTAGTTCCAGTGTGCGGGATTTCTCCTGAGGTCATTTTATTGTCCCTGAGATGATACCTTCTGTCCTCAAGTTGGGCCCATGTGGGCCCCTTCACTTGTTTCCCCACGGGGGAACTGTACAAAAAAAATCCAGGGGGAACCCCAGGATACCCGAGCGTGCCTAGCTTTTTTTTCCCCCCTAGATCTCCAGATCATGATATTAATGTGAACGATAACTTGTTATTCCGAACGCGATGTATATCACATGTTGTCTCTGCCAGATTTAGTTTCGCACCCAAGCCCAGTGCCCTCTTAATGTTAATTATCGTTCCCAAAACTCCAGATGCATTGCAGGATGACCTCGTCACCCGAGAAGAACATTACCACAGAGGCTCTTGTGGTTGAAGCACCAGGAGCACCCTTCGAGTTACAGCAAGTGACTTTAGACCATATTCAGCCAAACGAGCTTCTCGTTGAGATTAAGTACTCCGGACTATGTCATACGGTATACCACCCTCAATATCAAAGTTTGACTTTTAGCTTACATACACTACTAGGACCTTGTTGTCCAGGCGGGTCACATGCCCTTTGGGTCCTTCCCTGCTGTCCTTGGACATGAAGGAGCCGGGATCATTCGCGAATTGGGCAACGGTTCAGTCAACTCCGGCTTGCGAGTCGGAGATCTCGTCATTCTCAGCTATTGCTCTTGTCTCGAGTGTCCTGCGTGCAAGGAAGGACGGAAAGGTGCATGCGAGAAGATTGCTCCCACCAATTTCATTGGTACCAGAGGAGATAGTAACGACAGCGCCATTCGGGCGTCCGATGGGAGACAATGCCGGGGCACGTTCTTCGGCCAGTCATCATTCAGCAAGCTAGCCATTGTTGATTCGCGAGCCGTAGTTAAGTACTCTGGTGCTGTCGAAGATCTAGCTTACTTAGCACCACTTGGCTGTGGCTACATGACGGGAGCGGCCACTGTGATGAACGTTTTGCAACCTAAACCTACGAGCAGCTTGGTTATTATCGGGCTCGGTGCAGTTGGGCTCTCCGCATTGATGGCAGCGAAACACACACAAGTTCAGGAAGTTATAGCTGTGGATATCATCGAATCCAGACTCCAAATAGCATCGCGGTTGGGGGCGACACATACCATCAACTCGAATAAATGGCCATCTATCGAAGCAGCCATTCTAGAAATCCTACCCCAAGGTTCTAACTACATCATTGAGGCTACAGGTCTAACGAGCGTGATTAACAGCGGCATTCGGGCTTTGGCCCATGGAGGCACTTTCGCTATTGTTGGCACTCCCCGGCCGCATGATGTGCTTCAAATCGACGCCTTGAGCATGCTGACTCAATGCAAGTCGCTAATTGGTGTCACCGGTGGTTATTGTGACCCTCAACAGGTAACTGGCTTTCCTTACTGCTTTATCTGGCGTTACTAATGTTTGCAAAGTTCATACCCTTACTAATTCAAATGTACCAATCTGGCGAATTTCCGGTCAATGAATTGTGCCAAACTTATCCGGTGAGCGAGATACATGAATCAATTGAAGACATGAAGTCAGGCAAGGTACGTCCGCATTTGCGAACATCTAAACAAACTATCGCTAAATCCTGGAAAGGTCATAAAGCCAGTACTAGCTTGGTAACCACACACATTCTAATTTGAACGATGTCAAGTCTGCCCAGTCATGAGTGTTACAGGATATGAGCATCATGTATTTAACAGCTAAATCCACACAAATTACTATTTGCTCGATCTTACTTGAGCCATGAGCCTGTGAATAAGAAGAATAGTTTGTATAGCAAGACCCAATACCTATTGCTTTTCATCTTACAAAAAAAGCATACACAGTCAGCACGAGTTGGTATTACCCAAGAAGATGTGCAAGTCATTCAGTAGCCATAACACACTCTAGTCTCTCACTTCAAGCAGATATGATAGCAAATGAACCAGTGTGTAAAGACACATGCGGCAATTCTTGCTTTGCGGCCCACCCGGATCATGGACCCCTAAAAATTCCCGCCTTTCTCCACCAGTATTCCGTAATTCCAGGATACGTTGCTACTCCATCTGTGACCTAGATTCTGCCTGGATCGATTGACTTGTAGCTTGAACACGCCATAAGTGTCTTGTGTCATGTACTTCTCAGTCTCAAATAAGCGAAGAAACATATCAAAACGGGTAGCAAAAGTGATACATCGTAAGTGTATTGCTTTCCTGTCATCACTAGTATACCTGGCCATTACCAAGAAAGACTTCAGGCAGGAAATTCCTTTAATTCGATTTTCTTTTTTTGGCCTGTCACTTCATCTTCACAGTCTTTGCATCGATACGCTATAAGTCCACTGTCCTATCCATTGAATGATCACAAGACACGACAATATATCATGATAGCCGATCAAGTAAAATGCAGTATCATCATTATAGGTGCGGGAATCAGCGGGCTCACAGCAGCCGTGGCTCTACGAAGAGCTGGACATGAAGTTCACGTATGACTATTAAAGTTTGTTTGACAGTTCCGGTTTAACACGCCGTCGATAGGTGTATGAGTCCCTGAGTGGTGAGGGGAAGTCTTCGGAAATCATTCACATTTGCCCGAACGCGAATAGCGCTCTTCATCATATCGAAATCGATCACGAATTGAAAGGTGGGCAAGTCATCGACACTGTAAGTTTGAAAGTTCTCATTGTCCAAGATATTCGGCTTCACTCATAAAATGAATGTTGCAGGTATGTTACTATACTGCCGAAGCCATCCTTCTCGGTATTATCGACATGAGGGAGGAGTTACATTATTGGCAACAGGTGAGAGAATGCAATGAATCTCAAATGCCATAACCATATAACATTGACAATTTTTCCCAAAGCCATGGCTGACAGCTCGTCGGGATGGCTTGATTAAACACCTCGAAGAGGCAGCTTGCTCCGAGAGCCTTCCAGGTCCGGTAGTTCAAATTCACAGGGGCCGTCGAGCCATAACTGTCAACACCGATGATGCCACAATTCAACTCAACAATGGCGAAGTAACCACTGCCGATGTCATCATAGCCGCTGAGAGTTTGCATTCTTTTGCTCGAACGTCTATGACCCAGAAGTCCTATCTTCAAACCGCTTCTCATGAGAGCCTGCCCATTTCACCAGAAACGAACTCTCAGACCAATATAGATAACTTCAACACTCCCGTCACTTCACTTGACAACAACGTGAGGATATTTGCGGCAAAGGGTTGTGCGGTCGTTGTGACTACCTCTGGCGGGGAGAGATCGGTCAACATCGTGAAAAGTGACGTCTCAGGTAATCGAGAGTATTCTGAAGCAGCAATACTTGATAACAACAAAGGACTTAACTATCTCGTGAGTGATGCCATAGAAAATTGCAAGGAAAAAGCCATTTCTATCTCGTCACACGTTGGTACAGATATTGTCCCAGCCTGGACGGAGAATCGGCTCGCCTTCATCGGAGATGCAGCATGTCACTATCCACCGTACTTGTTATACGGAACAGCTATGGCTATCGAAGATGCAGTGTCCCTGGGAGTGTTGCTCTCGGGATTGAATACTAAAGAAGACATTCTTGAGCGACTGAACATCTTTAACGAAATGCGGCGAAGCCGCGTCACAAAGCTTAGAGAGCACTCCCGCAACACCTGGAGCGGATTAGAAAGCGGCCAATTCAAAAGAGAGGATTCAGACTTTGCTTTCAGCCACGATGAGATCCACCATGCCAGACAGATGATTCGTTTACGTTTGTGGGGAAAGGCACCGAGACTTAGCTGGCGGCAGCCCGTGGGGTTTGGGCCTATGATGAGCCCACGACAGCATATCAGCCGGTCAATAAGCTCAAACCCTAGACCGGACCGGTTGGGCGAGGCCCAGTCATTGACAGCATCTATACGATTTCGCACGAGTAAAACCCTACTTGGTAATCTTTTACCGTCAGACAAGTATAGTTTCAGTAAGCGTGGCAGTGTTGCTGAGGCCAGCTTTGTGTTCCAATCCATAGAGAATCTGGCTTGGCTGGGGGGTGGTGGCTATAATCTGGTCCTCTTCCAGATTCACGGCATTCAACATAAGAGCAGCATCGACAGCACGACTAGGGACGGCTGCTACGTGGCTCTTGTCCTGGAAGATCTCGCCGATCCAATCATCTCTGGGAGAGAAGATCTCGGCTGGCCCAAACTTTACTCGGACATTGGTGTGCGAGACAACATGAAGTCTGGAGGTAGCCTCTCAGTAACTCTGTCATGGAGGGGCTCTACATGGCTATCTTTATTCTGGAACGGTCTCCAGTCATATCAGCAGTCTCCTCAGCCACTACCGTCCTCGGCAGAACATGTGTTTGTACATAAATACATCCCGGCAACTGCTGAAATTCCACATCGACAAGTAGCAGATGCGGACTATGATGTCCTGATGCCTCCCACGTCACCAGCTTCTAGACCAGTCCAATGGCAGCACAATGCCACGGAATCGGAATTCATTGTGGAACCTCGATTGGAGCATGAGCTTCCTACATTGTGGCATGTGGCTCATCGGCTAGCCGAGCTGCCTAACTTTGGAGTCGTGGAGGCTAGAGTTGGGACGAAACAAGGACAAGACGACTTCTCAGGGGCAATCAAAGTTTAGCAATGAGACAGATTAAGAGTCTGCGAAAGCTTCTAAAGCCTTCTTTCCCTTATAGACCAATATATTTCATCCTCAAACATCACAACTAAGGAATCACTCATTCCAAAAAGCATGCACGGTAAATAAATATATATATCTCAGGCATGTTTATTCTGGTTTCCGCCGACCCCATTTGAGATGATAACTAGTTACCAGCCTGGGGTCAGTCCCAGGTGACCGGTAGTGGAGGTCCCCAGATGGCCGCTGGAGTGCCTGCGGATCTTATGGTAGGTGTCTCCTCGTTGACAACATCACCGTCGGCGTAATGCTCGATGACAAAGCCAGTTGGATCCCACCAGTAGTCAAAGATCTGAGACCCCATGATGTGCCTGCCCACTCCCCATTTTGCCTTGTATCCCTTCTGCTGCAGCCATTGATGCCCCATCATCTGCGTGTCCATGTCTTCCACCTCAAATGACGAATGGTGCACTCTAGTATCTTTGCCATCATCACTACCCTTTGCTACCAGGAGGCAATGGTGATCCGAGTATTCCGGACCAAGGTCAAGGTGGAAGAAGGACATGAGCTCGTCACTGGCATTGCCGGGCTTGTGTACAATGTCTGTTGCCTTCAAGTTGAAGTGACTAGTATACCACTCGCATGTCTGGCCATAGTTGTTGGTTATGTAGCCAAAATGTCCAAGTTTATGGATTTTAGCTGGGCCGCTGCCCATTCGATTGAACACGCCTTGTTTTGTTAGTGATGTGCAGGAATATTTCATTTCTTATCTGGATGCGGGATATATTCACCCTTTCGAACCTTGTTCACGGCTCCATTGACATTTGGACGACCGTCATATACATTCGACACACCCTTGCTTGGCACGATTCTCTCCTCTTGACCAAAGACAATTTGGAGCTCAAAGCCGTTCACGTCCGGTAGGCTAACCATCTTCCCACCACCAGGTCGGTTCGAAATATCACTTACTTGCGCGCCCTCTATATTGCATGCTCGTTCAAAATCCGATTCTGTTTTCGCACGGAATCCAGAGCCGCAGAACCTCTTCTGCTGGCCGCTTGGTGCTTGCCGAGCGATGTAGATATAAGGGTCCGCACCGTATCCGCGGAGAAAGACATTCCCCTCCTCAGACTTGTCTGCAACCTCGAAGCCAAAGTCGTCGGCAAAACTCAGGAATGCAGAGATATCTGGATGCTCGTAAATCACGTATGATAGACGGTCAAGATGCACTTTGTTGGAGACAGTCATTGTTGATGTGTAGCTAGGGACAGTCAACTAAGATGTTTGAAGTTTAGTCTCATTGGGTCGATCAAAACATCGCAAATAATATGTTCTTATAGTGAATGCCCTAGTAGTGGATCATAATAATCATGGCGTTCAGTGCTGTCGTCGGTATTTTCTTCCTGCTGGGAGTATAATAGCCGCACACTCAGCCTCCACATTCCGAGCCCCACTGGGAACCAGAGCCATGAACATCTCGCCACCACTGCTTCCTCCACCTTTGAGAGTACCGCCGACGGCAGCCATTAGAATATCTTGAATTGCCTTAGCTTTTTAATGATTTTCAACTGATAGCGCTGACGACTGCGAAGACTGGCTGGGGTTTGAAGTAGACTGATTAGGTTAGTGGGATGGGCGACGGTCATGGCTGAGGCAATAGCCTAACACACTGAGCGTCCATGTTGGGACTACAATTTTTTGGCCAGACCTACACTCGCTCCCGTTAATACAAGTACTTTGAGTGCTCTGAAATATCGACACGACTATGTGCTGGTACGAAGTACATCGTACGAGCTTCTAATGCATGTTGTATGGCTCAGTTACAGCAGGTTAACAATCAAAGCAGGGTTCGGCAAGCTTAGGCTGTGGGCAAAGTCGATCGGATCACCTGAACATTGGGTCCAATGTGCAAGCCCATTCAAGCCATCTCTCCCAGTCAATCACATCTCAAAGAGCTCTTTTTTTGTTGCCGTATTTCTATTGTAGTCAGGCTGGTTGATTTTTGCAGGTCAACAGTAATTAGTCGCCTGTGGTAGCTTCTTCCTCTTCCTTCCAATGACAGCAAACATTGGGATAGTGATGATGTCGCTGTGGCCCTGACGTCACCAGTCAGAGTCTCCCCCATGCCGACTGTCCTTATGCTGCTCTCAACAACCCACCACAAAACCGCAAATTTTCCAGTGAGAATATTACCAACATTCCCAATACTCTTTATCTGGAATCAGCTTCATTTGTCTTCATAATGGCTGAGACACACCATTTCGATGTCAACAAACTGTTCGGCGTCCAGGGCTTTGTTTGTGTAGTGACTGGAGGGGGGACAGGCATTGGCCTAATGGCTACGCAGGCCCTTGCCGCAAATGGAGCCAAAGTCTATATCACGGGACGTCGAATGGAAGCTCTGGAGAACGCAGCGAAGAGTCACGAGCCAAGCCATGGTGGGCAGATCATCCCCGTCGGGCCCTGCGACGTGCGCAAGAAGGACGATCTTGAGAAACTCGTCAAGGAAATCCAGAGCAAAGAAAAGTTCATCAACCTGCTGGTCTGCAATGCTGGTGTCGCTGGACCCAAGGCTGAGCCAGAAGAAAGCGATGCTGAAGATCTAAAGCAGAAGCTATGGGAGAATGAGAGCGTGGACGAATGGCAGAGCACCTTCGAGACGGATGTCACATCCGTATATTTCACAGCCGTCGCGTTCCTGCCGCTCCTTCAGGGCGGCATTGAGCCCGAAGGCCCATTAAACCGATTTTCTCCAAGCATCATCACAATCTCCTCCATGTCCGGGCTAATGCGGCATGCTCAAGGCCACTTCGCCTACAACGCCGCGAAGGGAGCCACGGTCCATCTCAGCAAATTGATGTCCGCTGAATTCCAACAGACCGGCATCCGGGTTAACAGCATCGCGCCAGGATATTTCCCCTCTGAAATGACGACAAAGAGCTCGGATGAGAAACAGAAGTCTCACCTGCCTCCAGAGAAGATCGAGGAGAAGGGGCACGTGCCAGCAATGAGAGGTGGTCGCGACGAGGAGATGGGAATGACGGTTTTGTACCTAGCCAAGAATGAATATGTCAATGGCGAGATTATTGCTGTCGACGGAGGCGTATTGAACGTCGTCTCAGGGAGGTAATTGAACTGATGAAGAGGCATCAGAATATAAACCCGTGGACTTTGCCGGCCACTCAGCCTCTACCCAATGAATTACATTCAGATGCCCGATGACCACTATGGGGATCGATGGTGACGTGCAAGCGAAGGCACATCTGCTATTCTATAGCACCACCTTCAAGTAGAATATCAACCATATCTTTATCTGAACGTAATTGTGCGAATTGTAGGGGTGTATAACCTGTATCAGGATATCGACAATCCAATCTCGCCCTCCCTGTCGTTACGAGGAGCCGGGCAATGGCATGATCTGCGCGGGCAACGGCCAACATCAGCGCTGTCCATATATGATGTGAGATTTCCATTAAAAGATCAACGTCCACCATGTGTGTATCAAGGAGCAGTTTAACCACTTCACAGTGCCCATGGACAACTGCGAGATGCAGAACAGACTTGCCGAAGATATCCCTTGCGTCTAAGTTTCTTATGGGAACTAAGAGTAGTTGCTTGACAACAGAGACATGGCCTTCAGCACAAGCAGAATGCAACGGTGTTCTCAAATGGTCGTCTCGAATGTTGCTAAGCTCAATGATTTTCTTTGATGTGAGTAGAATTTCTACAACCCTAGAATGGCCCTTTTCTGCGGCTAAATGTAAGCAGGTTTTGCGCTCCTTGTTTAGCTGCAAAACTTCGACCTGGCCAGTTGCAAGTAGCAGCCTCACGACCGGCTCATTTCCGATACTTGAGGCCAAACAGAGTAAAGAGTTACCAGTTTCCCTGTCTCGAGCGTTGAGGTAGATGTTTCTTCGGACAGAAATAGATCGATGAGCTTCGGGGACAGCGTTTCCATTATCGTGTGTAATTGTAGGCTCATACAGACTAGTAATAGAGTCGTCCCATAAAGGCCAAGCATTGTCTGGATCTAATATCCCTCGGACGAGGGCTTGAGATCCAAGCTTTAGAGACAAAATCAACGCCTGTTCATATATTGCAGGACCTAGAGTTTCTGGTAGAAGCAACCCGGCAGCGACCATAGCCTCGCTAAACTCGGCTGGCCGATACCACTTAGACATCGTTAAGTAATACATATTTTTCTTTATGACATGCTTCGCCAGCATGAGGAACGCCAGCAACAGGCCATCGTGTTGGGGGAGCGATGACCACATTTTTCTCTTCAAATTCCATGAATCTGGTAGTTGTATGTCGCGTGAACACTTCGGGTGTTTGCCACACCTGGACCGATATAGGTCGTAGAGCTTGACGAGTGAAGAGGCTTCAGGCTGATTTTGAATCTCAAATTCCATGAATTTCTCAATTGCCCTATGGCTGCCGTTGGCCATTGCGGCAACGAAGGGCAATCGATATCGATCCCGTTCCACACCAAGATATGCGAGGTTATCTGGATGAATTGAGATCAGGGAGTCAAGATTCTTTTCGGCAAAGATGTATAGGGTAGTGACATCCGGGAGGTATCGACGAACTGCATGTCTTTCGAAAAAGTTGTGTAACCATGTCCATCGCTCTCTCGGAAAAGTTGCGAGAAATCCTCGCTGGTCGACCCCTGCTTGTTGTGCCTGATTGGCATGCCAAAGAATATTCTGAGTCGCGTATTGTAGAAATGGAAATGCTATGGCGCGATCTGCTTGAGCCGCTTCCCAATGCTCTGAATGTACCTTACCATGATCAAATAGTGTCCATTGGGGAACAGTGATTGAATCAAGATTTAAATAAGCCTCACAGCTTTGACGAAGATGCTCATGACTAGCACCTGTGAGGTTGTTTCCCAAGTCCGGCCAGAGATCAGCCATTCCATTCTCCTTCAAAAAGAAATCCCTAACAGATTCGTGAATGAATTGAACAGTGGATGGCTTTGGCTTTTTCGCTGGAACAATTTCGACTAGTCCCTTGGAGGTGTCAAGTATAAATCTTTTCTGAATATCTTGAGTGATCTCATCGGGTGGGATATCGTCGAATTCCTTAGATGATTCCCCGGTCAGAAGAGCAAAGTACAGCTCTTGAGGGCCCAGAGGCCTCGAGGAGAATAGAATCCACTGTATACAGTGTAAAAGGTCTTGAGTATTGCGGTTATCTCTAGTCATGATATCGTGAAAGAGGCCGTGGAGGTCGCTTGGGAGCTCAGCCAGCCTCGCCCGTAATTTGTGTATTCGTCCGCTGTCGTACTCCTTGTTGAGAATATCCACGACAAGGACAATCCACATGAAAACCCCAGCTGCTTTATCTCGGAGATCGGTACGGACCTGTTCGGCAAGCTTACTTTTGCCAATCTTCAGCTCACTGTCGATATACGCTGTTATATCTTCGTCATGTCCATCATTAGCTTCTAGAATAAGCTCTCGCCCACGGTAGATCGATATGTGAGGATAATGCCTGCTTGCAAGACAGACCTCGAATTGGGTGCTGGATTCAAGGACAAAATCGCTGAGGTTCTCGAAGAAGGAGACCATATCGCGAATTTCGTGCTCGTCGCATTCATCTAAAGCATCGATAAAACATATGACTGATGTGCGGCCCAAGCCAAGAACGATCTGCTCGAACACCTCTTTGAGTGCCTCAGTGCTCCATGACCCCTGAGTAACACTAGTTGACGACATTTGTGATAACGCCTTAATGATGTCGATGTCGTCTGGAATATGTTCGAGAAGTTGCGAAATCAAGGAACGATACATGCCCTGTGTTGACCGTTCGAGAAGACCACCTCGAGCGTTGAAGAAGAATGATATGCTTATTCGGTCCTTCCTCGTTCTTTGAGCATTGGTCAAGGCGAACTTCATCAGTGTCGATTTGCCGGTTCCAGGTTTTCCCTTGATCCAGAGAAAGCCATGATGCTGACTCATCTTGCTAAGATCAAGCCACTCCATATACACAGGTTCTTTAAGAAGCCACTTACAAGTCTTCCTGTGTGCGGCTTTGATTGCAGTCCTTCTGAAGTCGACATGGTCAAATCTCAGAGCATTTATGATATTTTCCTTGTTGCTGTTGGCCATGGAGGGAGTCACGCTATGGGTGTGTTGTGACGTTGTGTGTCTGTCAACCATTCTACGTAATGCTGCTTCGACTTTGGTGAACTCAGGATCCGATGGACCCGTAAAACGACACATCTCCATATGATCTCGGCCAATATGCTGAGTAGTCTCCACATCAGGAAGGTTGATATAAGATGAGGCATCGTCGACAACTTTCCTCCCCTCCAATGGTCGGATTCCCAGGGACTCCTGGAATGAGTGGATTGTCCACCCGCGAAGCTGAGCCATCGGGCCAAACTCATCCCTCAATTCACGGAGGCGTTCTGACGAAGGAAGGAGAGTGTCAACAATTTGTTGATTGACGTTGAAGCCAATGGCCTTGGCCGCAGTTTCCGCGACCTTCTGCAATAAACGCCGAGGATCTGCTCCTTGGTGAGGCGTACCAAAGAACATGATCCCGATGGTTGAATCGCAGATTTGGCGGAGGTGTGCCTGGCGATCATGTTGGAAACTACTTGATCTCCGGAGCATTTCCTTGACAACAATACCGCCTAGGCTATGAGCTACGAACATCAGCCTTCTTTCAGGAGCTAGCCGACGTTGTGTCTCGAGCTCAACCAGTAAGTCGCCTGCAATGTCGTAGACCGAATTTTTACAGATGGGCTTCCCGGCAATGTGTCGAATGTTGGTGTCATAGCCATACGTTAGGACTCTGGCATCCGGGAAGCTTTTTCTGAGCAAGTCTCGTGGCCAGTAGACGACCTTTCGGGAAGTTGAAAAAGGCAGGATACCATGTCTTCGAACTTTGGTCGGAGGTTCGCTCTCAGTGTCATCCGCGTTGCCTTTGTATGCCCATGTTCGTTCTGGATGACCTTTGAAACCATGAACGAAGACAATGCTGTGGATTTATTAGATATGTCAATTCTGGCGACGCAAGGCTCCGTGCACATACTCGAGGTCAGCATTTTCGGGGTCTACAACTACTGTCAGACCAGTCGAAGGAATATCCGCGTCCATTCTCGTGATGAACTTGTGGTTATGTTAACGTCTACAACTTGCAGCGTTTCTGTCTATGGCGGCGGCACATGCACATGAGAAAAGACAAAACCTTTGTCCGATCAGGCTCTGATCGCAGGCGCATGATGGCGGGATGCCTCACTGTGCCTCAGGCGCTCAACTAAGCCACGCTGCCTGAGACCGGGGTCAACAGGCCATCACATGTTCACTACATACAATTCGCACGCACAATTTGTCTTCGGGATAGAAATTAGGCTCATTGAGTGGCTTACACGCGTTGCTCAACTATTAACATTTGAACTCAAAGAAAAATCTAATATTGTCTATTGTAGATTGGGATAGGTTCCATTACCATCGACTTCAATTATAAACCGGAAGTTAGTGACAGTAAGCCGTGTGAGTATCTTGTTACAATGCAGTCTAAATTCGTGAGAAGAAACTGCATTAGAATAAAGTCTGGGGTGATTACTATTCAACTCGTAGTTTTGGCTGTGTCGGCTAGACAAGTGCCTTATTTTGGGATGTTGAACGGAGCGGGCTGAAATCCAATTATGGGTTTCTGAACAACACAGCCCCATCCAACAGCACTGGAGCCAAGTGAACAAGTGCTTTTGAGAACACACTGAGTAAGGTGGTAAGCTGGTCTGCAGCGACGTCAGCGATACCATTCTTTGACTCGGAGAGAGGTCCGCGTGGTTGGGATAGATTTCGATTGTGGGCCTGCCGGTGATTGTTTTGTCTCACTTATCCGGAGACCATTTCGAACCGATCTGTACTGACTGAATGGATCGCTTTGAAGAGTTGCAGCTCAGCACTGCTCAGCTGGTCCTGGTGATGGGCCGCCCAAACGGCCGCCACACCTCTCGGGCAAAGAGTGTGGCTGGTGGTGGGCGGCGATAGGATGGCAGGCGCAGTTGCTGGATTTAGTTTCGTCATCGGAGGCAGGGGCGTTCGACAACAAACAGAAAGAGGGGATCCCTGTTCCTGGCTCTTTCTTTGGCTGCAGCAAACGGGCAACTGCCCTGGCAGGTGTTTAGTTGATTGTGCCTGACGCGACGGGAAAGCACAATCGACCTCCCCCCACCTGTCATTTAAGTTAGTGCAGTGAATCTGCCTCTTGCTCACACGACCGAGGCCAGAATGCCGCGACGCGACAACCTGGTAGGCACGCCTGAGCACGGTCGCTCTTGCTATCTTGATTAATTGATTTGGGCTTTTTGATTGCCTTCCTTTTACGGTGATCGCGATTGCTATGTCTTCTCACTTGACAGACCTCGAGTGCAATTTCTACTCTTCAACTTTTGCCTAGCGGATGTCACTCCAGCTGCTACGGAAAAGTCGCCCTCGCGCGGCAAATTAGAGGAGCCATTGTGTCTCACTGCCGGTGAATCAGGGCGAGAGGGCCTACATACCGTCCCTGCGAAGAGTTGCCATTTCCCTCCCTTCTGGCTGAAGGTAGGTACTTCTGAATACTCAGCACACACGGGCGAACGATACGCTCCCACGTCTTTCATTGCTGATTGTTGTACGGTGTATTTAGATCCATTTGTAGCAATTCAGCGCCAATACCGGCTCCTCGTTCTGCAAATCTTCTGCTGGGCAACTCCACTGGTCAGGTCCATTTACTGGCTTGTGACCGTGAGTTAGGTTCAGTGGGTGGCCGCGCGAAGCGACCCAGTTCGTCCGAACCCGGTTCTTGAGACACCCCTGTCCTGTACCCTCTCTTCACTACGTACCCGTACGTACCACGAACAATCGTCACCTTTGCTCGCTGCGACTCCCTCCCTCTTCTGTCCTCCACTACCTACACTAGATCGCCCTTTTCTCCCTTCTCTACGCAGGGATTGCCTAAGCTTCCTTTTTCTTCAGAAACATGCATATTGAAGGTCTCTGTCCCTGACACCTGTAACTGATCAGTTCCCCGATAGTCTGAGCCCCCCTAACTGCGACATGCTGAGCGCTGTGGCCGCTTCGTCCCTCTCGTCGAAATCGCGACCGCAATAGGAATGGCCGATCCCCATTCCGACAACATGGAGGCGCCGGTGGACGTGAGTGTTAGTGAGCCGGCTGCCCTGCGCTGCTGTTGCGGGCAGGAAAAGTGTGCGTTTCTGAGACATAATTGCACTATCTTGGAGTCCGTCGAAAAGGATGTCCACACAGCCGCCAAGCTGGGCCAGGTAGGAATCACCTGCTTATGTTACACATTCCAACCGTTCCTCCTCGTGCGCCCCCAAGCGGCTGGCATCTCGGGGCCTCATATACTCCTCCTGTCCTCCCTGCCACACGAGGCCAGGGCGACTTTTTGCATTCCTGTGCCTGTCAAACTGCCATCCTCTGCGCTCCCTGCCCTCCTGCCCCTGGAGTCGTTGGAATGGCTTCCACTGAGTGTCTTGCGCCTCAGTGCGCAGACAACGTCGAGGTCTCGAGCGCAGATACGACGTACCCAGCACTAACATTTGCTCTGCAGTCATTGCTCGCTCGTCATGAAGCGTATATGGCTTCTGCGGAGCGCGATCGCGTCGACATGCAGTCGCGGATCGAGCAGCTTGAAATGGAAAAAGAGTCGCTCGCCGCCGAGAATGCACGAACGACCGAGGAGAATCACACGCTTGCTGACCAGCTCGAGCTGCTCAACACCACCGTCGCCGATTCCGAGACCCGTATTCTCAGCTTAGAGGCCACACTACAGAGCTCCCAGCAGGCAGTGAGGAGGCTAGAAGGAGCAGCAGCCCGGGCGGCGGAGATGGAAAGGCATATCGCCTTGCTAGAGGCAGAGCAGGCGACATTACAGAACACCCTGATCAACACTGAGTCCGAGGCCCGTTCGGCCATGTCGAGGTGGCGGAAAGCCGAGCGTGGATTAGCCAATCTCCAGGAGCAGCTTGAGAGGATTGAGAAGGAGGCCAGAGAAGAGCGAGAGCGGCATGTGGAGATCCTCGGACGCATGGAAAGGCAGCGAGAGATGGAAAAGGACCTGAATACTGCCGCCGGAAGATTAAAGGGTGCAGCGGCAGCCAAATCCCTAAACAATGGGAAAAACGGAAGTAGTGTCGTCTCGCACTTTGTGCGCGACCTTCTTCAAGACAACGCGAACCTCCAGTTGGGCATTGCAGAGCTTCGAGAAATGTTGTTGAACTCGAATGATGAGATCCAACATCTCCGGGAGCAACTCGCATATCATCAACCAGTTCCAGATGGCGAGGCCAGCGCCGCAAGTACGCTTAGAGCTGAGCTCGAACCAAGCGATCAGTCCCCGCAGAGGACACCGCTACCAACTTCCAAGTCACAGGAATTGCACATCCATCACCACTATCACGTCACGAATAAGGCTGAACTCAAGAAGCCGAAGAAGAAGCGGCAAAGCCTCAACCCTGGCATATTCGCGCCACCTCATATGTCGTATCCATCTACGCCTCCCAATGGTCAATGGCATTCAAATCAAGGCTCACCTATTCCAGCAATGCTATCGCATTCTGCGCGAAACTCCGTCTCTACGATTCCTTCGAATCGGTGGTCCGTCTTCTCGGAACAGCCTTCAGAATTCGCACCGTCGTCCGTTCCTAGTTCGCCAACCTCAAATCCTCGCAACTCGATGTTTGATCCCGGAATACAGGATATTTCGATCCCAGCATCGCCAACAACCAGCGTAGATCCTATGTCACCCACTTGGCGATCAAATCACAAGAAACAAGCATCTGAAGTATCCAGAATTAGTTTCCTCGCGCCGGCGCCATTGCAGTTGGATGCACCAAACATATCTCCCCCACGAGAGTCGACACCACGTTCGTTCATTCAGGGAGAGGATTCCTTCCGAGACGATAATTTCGAGATACCAGAAACCACAGTGACGGCGGCTACCACAGACGACTCTGCGGTAGAGTCGTCTGCTTCACCAACTAGCACACAAGACACTGCTTTCAGTGATATGCAGCTATCACCAACTTTCGATTCGCCCCAGGATCCTTCCACGCCACGGCCGCGTCTGCACCGTGCCATGTCTCATGAGTCGATCATATCTCTCAGTGGCGGCCTGGATATCCATACTCTCCGAGCGCGACCAAGCCAACTGACTCTGCGGCCACTTGGTGCCGCCTCTGCCGACACAGGCTTGAGTGCAGTTACTGCCATGCCGACCATCTCTCGAGGCACCGCTTCGGGCAAGAGAGGAAGCGTCGTATTACGGGATAATCTTATAGGACTGCCAATTCCGCGAGCCACAACACGAACAGCTTCTGGTCCGTCGAGTCCTGCACTCAGCGCTGCCTCTGGTGGACAACGATCAGCGTCTGGCGGCCTGGGGAAATGGGTTGGCTGGAGGCCGTGGGGTGGCAATGTTACTTCGAGTCCTTCTACGGCAATTGATTCCTCAACCTCAGCAACAACCACTCAAGCAATTGAGTCGCCAACGCCGAAATCTGGGCTTGATGGGTCTTACAAAACATTACGGGAGAAACACATTTCCCGAGCATCGGGAATCAATCAAGCAGGCTCTATACCTGGATTCAAAGAATATTGGGCCGCTCACCAGCGCAAAGGAGCTCCTGCGAAGGTGACAGCTGAAACAATCGACACGGAAGCTCTCAGAGAGGTGCTAGAGGAGTAGAAGCTCCAGATGCCGTCATCGTTTCATTCATCAAGTTACCAAGTTTCAAATGCTGCCACTCAGCTGTCAATTGTACAACTAATATCGAGCCACTCGGCGTTTTCTTTGTTTTGCATAAACTGGAGCATGGGGGGAGTCTGTGGGAAGATGGAGTTGTAAAGTATTGCATCACCGATCGGAGTTCCTTTGTCTTGCTCGAACATAGGCGTTGGCGCGAGGTTGGAGATACCTAAGTCTAAATGGTTACTGGGGAGTTCATCTCGAGGTTGCATCACGAATAAGGCGGATGAAGCATGTCCATATTATTATTAGTAGTATACTGTACAGCACAGCGCTTAAGCGCTCTTATAATGAAACTCAGGGCTCCAACTCTTGGACGCCTTCAGCAACCTGGGCGAAATAACTCATTAAACAGCGTGGTATTATGTTATAACTGAAATTATTGTCCGGGGTAGGATCGTATCAACTAGCCTCCCATAGTGCATCGGCGAGTTACCAAGGTACCTAGGTAGTCTGCTCCGGTCGTCCAGACCGATTCGGCCGATTGATCCCATCTAATACTGCCTAGTTAAGGAACTCGAGTTGGGAGGATCGACCGGTCGCTCTTTCGCAGTCCGATTAGACAATCGGGGCAGGGAAGGAAATTGGCATGATCTTGCGGATATCGGACAATGAGGTCGGCATTGTGCTGCCGGCTTGCCACCGGCCGTTGGGCTCCGATTGCCAACGCAGCGTGCCGGCAAACACGCCGTAATGCAGTACGTTTCCGCTCTGCCCTTACGCAGCAGGTCACAAGCAATGGCCCCGCCACCTCGCCATGATTAATAGCATTTCTTGAGCAAGACTGATTTCACTGCGGAACCGAGAGTTAAGACTTCGAAGCAGGGCGGTGAGGCAACTTGTATCTCTCGTTTTGAGCTAGAGAAGGACTTTCGCTAACTAAGTTTAGAAGCAGCTGCGTGTTCACAAGACACATCAAGAGGGTCAGAACGGGGCTTGGGCCTTCACTGGCTTTTGTACAAAATGAAGTGTCTCGAAAAGACAGGTCACATGTGCCCAAGCGCTGTCACTGTGCTGTGCATGGTTGGGACTCGACTGGCGCCCGACGCGGCTACGACGCCTCACCCGTCAAACGGTATCCGACGGCCGGGACAAGCCTCGATCTGATCGACACTCAAGCGAAGGCATCGTCGACCACAATAGGCAGCGTGCATATACAGCCGCCGGCTGCAGCCGCGACCCGTTTGCCGGAGCGGAAGTTCCTACTCGTCGTGGTGGATCTCTCTGCCAGCGTGGTGGCCCAGTATCACTGCCAATCACCATCAAGTGGAACGCTCTATTGCGTGTTTTGGCCAGAAACAGAGCCACGTCAATCCACAAGAGCCGGATTACGAGATTCGATAGGAAGCACTATTCTGGACGAACCATAAGAGAGGGCGGAGTGGACTTATTGGTACCTGTACGTTAGCCAGGGGGGCAAGTTGGGCTGCAACTGCCATCTGCCACCTCACACGAGGTCTCCAAAGGAACGGCGGTGCGAACGACTGGCAATGCGTTCTCGGCGAACCAGTGCTGTTGCTGGAATTGATAAGATCTCATGATGCCGCTGTTGATGAGTCAACAGATGCCCAAGGAGCGAGGATTTGTGCCCTGGCGGTCCTCGAAGATGGCTTTAAGATGTCTTCTTCACCCGTCCAGCCGTCACCATGATGACTGCAATGATCAATGACCAAACAAGACGAGTTTGACTCTGCATCGTTCAGAAGAACTACTGTCATACCTCTTCAACGACTCTTCAGATTCATCTCCCAGACCTGCCCCAGACAACACACGAGACCAGCCGCCCCCATGGGCATCCTCAGCCCCAACATGCCTGCCGCCGACCCCGATCCGACACAGGTTGTAGATGGCCTGGTGGGTGCGATACGGAATCTGGCATCCGACAACAACTACAAAATCGTCGCCGACCTCTTCAACGAAGCTCTGTCCTTGAAGGAGCAGAATGCCAGGCTGTCACTCTCACACCGCGAGCTCCTCGAGCAGTATCGGGAGTTCCGAAACGAGCTCGACTCCAGTGAGGCCAAGCTCAAGGCGGAGAAGGCCGCACTTGAGTCGATAGTTGTTGAGAAGACCAGGGCGTTGACAGACCTTGAGGAAGTGAAGAGTCAACTCGACGCCGAAGTATCCGATAAGAACACCAAGTTGGAGGAGAGGGAGAGAGCCTTTGCCGATCTCGAAGCAGCCAAGTCAAAGGTAGATGCAGAGCTAGGCGACACGACGACCAAACTAGATGAGAAGACGAAGGATTTAGCGGACCTTGAAGAGGTCAAGTCCAAGCTTGGTGCAGATCTCTCTGAGGCCAATGCCACCTTAGAGGCAAAGGTGAAGGAGTTAACAGACCTGGCAGAGGCGAAAACTGCTCTTGAAGGGGAGCTTTCAGATGCTAAGTCAAGTCTCGAAGAGAAGGAAAAGTCTCTAGCAGAGCTCAGTGAGGCAAAGATGGCCGTGGAGGGTGAGCTTGCCGAGGTCAGATCCAGCCTGGAAGAGAAAGACAAGTCGATCTCGGAACTCGAGGAAGACAAGACCAAGCTCCAGGGTGACCTTAACGACACCAATGCAAAACTAGAAGCAAAGGAGAATGAGCTCGCAGATTTTACTGAAGCAAAGTCCAAAGTCGATGCTGAACTCGCGGATACAAAGGCGAAGCTGGAGGAAGAAGCCAATCTCAAAGCAGCGGTCGAGACTGAGCTCAGTGAGACGAAGACGTTGTTGAACGAGGAAAGGACCAAGTGCGAAGGGTTAGACCAGGAGATTTCGTCGCTTCGTCAGACCATACAGGACAGAGATGCTGAGATCGAAAGGTTGCAGGGAGAGGTGGCACGCATGCAGGATGAGATTAACAACGCCAACTCATCTCTTGAGAATCTCAGACAAGACCTCACCAGCATACAACAAGAAATGCAGATCAAGAGCGTCAGACTCGCGGAGCTAGAGCGCTATAGCATACAACTGAAGAACGAACCTGAAGACAAGTAGTAAGTATTGTGATGCATCACTCCGTTACCAGCGGATCCCCTGCTAACAGTCACTCAGTGTCAAGATATTAGATACGATATGGACCTCGATTCTCAACCTCGCCGAGTCGACGTTCAGCCAAGATCTCGAACCGAAGGTTCTTAGCGATGCTTCATGCTGGACCAATCTCCGGACTTGCGAGTACCTCAAGCATGCTATGCAACTTCCCCTGCCGCAATCCAACACACCCGCTGCCAAACAAATGCGTGTTGCAGCTATAATCGCCGTTATGTCTCGGGCTCTTAACAAGTACATTTTCCGCCCGACATACCTCCTTGATGACGATGCCCAACTTACACAGCTGCTTCGTGATCTCGAGGACGATAACCCAGCGCAGGAACTGCACTGCCGCTCCACCCTCCTCGCCATCCTCCCGGAGAAAGAGAAGATGAATGCCATCAAGCGAGTGCAGACAGTTGTTAGGGAGGTATCATGGATCGTACAACATCTTCTCAGCGCTCTGCAATATGAGTCATTCCATGCAGCACTTGAAGCATCATGCAAGCTTGCCTGCACCCAGTGGAGGAAGATTCAGGAGGCACAGATGAAGATCGAGCCATACTTCGGCCCACCTTACGACGATTACGACTGGCAGGTGCTTCCCCTGCCCGAATTCGAGGATAGCTCCCCCATCAGCTCTGACTCCGATACCGCCGTCGACCCTCATGAGCAGCATGCCGATGCTGTCGTGGACGATGATGACGGTGATGATGAGGGAGACGACGCCGACTCTGACGAGGAGGTCGAACCTGATGCCATCATGTTTGTCGTCTGGCCGACTATGTGTGCCGTCGAGGGCGGCGCGCTCAACTCTATCACTCAAGGGCTCGTCATCTCTAAGGAGCAGTCTCGTCCTGCGCTCGAGGAAGTGCGCTCTCGCCGTGCCCCGCGCCCGGCCCAGAAGCGCGCAAGATACATGTCGATGTCAATGCGCTCGCACGGCGCGAGTGGAAGTCCGAAGCCAAACAAGGCTTTTTTGTATCCCGACTCCGGGGAGGGGGACGGAGGTGGGTTGAAAGATTCGAGCGATGGCTCAGCAGCAGTCGCGATTGAGTGTCACTAGCGCTCAACTACACGAACACAGCACATTCATTTCACATCACACTACAGACTTAATCGCAACTATGGTGGAGTTCATATTGGTTCAAAGGGCACATTGCATTGCTAGGAGAATGTCATTCGTTGTTTTTCGTATGTTGCATTGGGTTTCGAAGGAGCGAGTTTAGACTGTCACAATAGGGGCATAATTTGTTAAGAATATAGGACTCTTCACATTTGCAGGTAATTCTGGTTTCAACTATATGACGCTTCTATAATCTATAAAGTCGAGAAAATTTAAACGGTTTATGAGGACGGGAATCCAAAATCAAACCCGTCAGTCGCTGGCAACGACAATGATATCAGTTCTAGCCGATCAACAGTATCCTGAGGTATTTCAAGCAAGGAGTGGAGTTGAGAGACGCCATCGTCAAACGCCGTTTCATATAAGCTCATATCTTCTTCTACTCCACTGGTCTCCTCTACCCCATCCCCTGAAAAAGAAAACAAGTCCAGGCTGTTATGACGAGGCTCATTATGCTCTTCGGCTGCTGTATTTTGCGCCGTAGTAGAAGCTTTGGAGGGTTCGCCCTCCTCTCCGTCGCCGTTTTCATGCCTCGTAGACTGCGGTGTGGGATTATCTGTAGACAAAGGTTGAGCCGGCGCCATGGTACGAACCGGTTGCAGCACGTTGTTATCAGGTTCGAGTGCGGCGTTTCGCGGAATGTTGGGCAAGACATCATCAAAGGCATCCCATACCGCCCGAGTGATAATCTCCGAAAATGTTCTGTCTAAATCTTGTATATACTCTCGGACTGCCGGGTCATGCCGTAAGTTGCTATTTATTGACCGAATGACACGATCTGGGAGCTCCTGTCTTAAGAATCTACGATATCGAGCTTCACTCTCTGGGCTGATATGAGCCTCCATCATTTGTATATTATAGTCTGGACGCATGTCAGTCAATTAGTAGAACCTAGCAGCTCGGAGTGAAACAAACTTACAGGGTGAAGGTACACTGGCAGCATGCGGGAATATTATCTTGTACATAGCTTCCCATTTCACCTCTTCTGCTATGTGTTGTATGCTCTTTCTGCTCCTAAGTCGCTGTATGGTGAGTTGGGGGAGCAGGGTCT